GGTAAGTAGATTGGATGTTTGCTTTCCTCGAACTACCTTCGAATTTTCCAATCTACTCGTGATCTCCACAGCTTTCTGTCATTGCAGTACAAATTCCATTTTTCCTTTTCTTCCTCGTTGAGTCCTTCTGTCTGCACTTGTCTAATTAGCACCCATTTGGCTAATTTAAAATCCTCCGACGTTAGTCGTTTCACTTCTGTCGACATCGGTTGTATTCATGCTATCTCTTACCCTTTGTCGTGAGTTTAATAAATTTGAGACCCCAAATAGTGGTTCTTACAAGTCTGGACCATTTGCTGAACCGACTTCTATCTATAAGCGAAAATTGTGTTACTTCAATTGTTTGAGAGGCGACTTTTGCAACGATCCGTTCTTCTTTGTCTTTAAATTCTTCTGTGAACTGGTATTCCCATTGGGGTCATCCGCTTTCGGGACCTGTTAAACACGATGGCCCTTCTCACCATAGCTTGTATTGCCTGAGCTTTACGGGAGAAAGTCATTTAGTCGCAATATCGACTGGATTATCTTCACTTGGTACATATCGAAATGAGAAATTTGCCTTTCGTATTTCTTCTACTCAGTTTTGTATGAATTTGGGTAGTAATTTCGATCGATTTTTGTATCCAGTGTAACGCACATTTCGGATCCGACCGTAACACCATTGGGATTTTTTCCATACTCCATTGCTTTATAACAAAGTTGGCGGTTCGTACATCAGTAAGTATTGCTAGCAGTTTCAGCCATGGTATGGTCATACCTTTAATTGGAGGGAGTTTTGATTTGGCGAAAAGTATTGCGCTATTTCTTTCGTCAAGATGTTTGTTTAAAATGTATACAGCTGCTGAATACGCAACACATGATGCGTCCGTGAAGACATGGAGTTGTTGATCTGAGAGCTTTTTTTGTAGCCAACCTCGGTATCTCGACATTGTCTGCGGACCATTCCTTTGTAAGAGATCGCCATGCTTCTTTATCATCCTCATCGAGGATTTGATCCCAAGAATTATTTCTTTTCCATAAGTTTTGGAGGAATAGTTTGAACTGGATGATTGTGGGGACTAGAAATCCCAAAGGATCATATTGCGAAGCAACGAACTGCAAGACACTTCGTTTGGTGAGTTCATGTTCGATCCATGGTTTCAGCGTTATTCTGATTGTATCTTTATCGTTTATCCAAGTGATGCCAAGAATTTTTGTTGCACCTCCTTCGATTCTGTCATGTTTCGGTATTACCTTATTGAAGTTTTGGTTATTGGATAGAAATCCGCGAATATTCATCGCCGTCTTCTTGAAGATATCCTTCACTTCGTGATCTTTATTTATGGCTTCCCTTGTTCCATTTGCTGACAATATAACGTTATCCACATATAAATTCCTCCTGATCTCTAACGCTGTCTGGCCTTCGATTGTTTCTAGATGATGATTGAATGTTGCTGCTAGCAAAAGTGGTGATATCACTCCAAAAGGAACTCTTCTAAAACGATAACATTTCAGGTTTTCCTCGGTAACCGCAAATTTAATATCATTTGTCCAGAGGAATCTGGTACAGTTCCTGTCGGACTGATGCAGTTCCAATTGTAAAAACACCTTTTCGACGTCGGCTATGATTACATTTTTCATCATTCGAAACCGCAGTAGTATTCCTACTAAATCTGGAAGCATAATAGGTCCGCGATATAGGATTTCGTTTAAGCTTTTTGTTTCCTTGAGATGCGCCGAAGCATCAGGACTATTCTGAGTTTCGTTATAGGTTTTATGCGATGTGACCTTTTTGTGCTATGTGACCTTTTTGTAAGCAATTCAGGCACGCCTCGATTGTTTTCAAACGCTCCATTCGTTGCTTTGCTGTCTGGTAGACTTGACATTCGTCATCCCAATGATTCTCGTTGCAAAATGAATAAGGTCTTCGTATTTTATCACTTTCAGGATATTTCCTTAAGTTTGTGATCCGATCGTTTCGACTATCGTTTGGCTTGGGCTGCTTGATTACGGCCAAAGCAGATGTCTCTCCTCTAGTACTGCGTGGGTCGTGATTCGACTTCGACTCGGTTGATTTTCGTTGGTACCCACTACTAGAGGCCTGGCTTCTCTGTATTTCCCCATTTCTTTGGACTAGTTCTTGCAGGAATTTCCGGAGTCTAGCGACCGACCAGAATTCCTGGTCCTTTTTTGTTGGTAGATTTTGTCCAATATCCAAACTGGCAATCTACTTTCGATAATAATTTCAATGCTTGAATGGTCCAAGCACTTACCCATTGCTTCCAGTTCTTTCCATAGTTCCGACGGTTGTTTTCCACTCTCGATCATATCCTTTGATGGAGTATAACTCGTTGTACAGCGACTTTTTTATAGTAGATAAATCTCCAAATTTTTTAGTTTCCTGGAGCAACATCATAGTCTTTAACAGTTTATAGAGCATTTCCTTTAAGGCATGAGATCACATAATTTAATTTTTAAATATCGGATATTTTTTGAAGATGCACTGATGCATCAAAACTACTCCAGAATTCTCTCCATAATTTCGGGTCACCACTGAATGTTGGCAGTGGTAACTGTGGCAAATTTGCTATCTGCTGAGACATTTGGGAGGGCTCCTTCTGTTGAAATGGTTCGTAATTTATCTTGCTTTGCTGTAGGCGCTGTACCGCTGGCTCAAACTCATCCTTGTACATATCTAAAGTTATAATAGCTTTTTGACCGTCATTTATTAAATTTAAAAGACCTTTGTTATCATCGACCATATCTGCGTACTTGTCTCCTTCTTCCTTCCTCCCTTTTCTGCACATTCTTTTATTTCTGGATATACTCCAACCACTTTTCGTTGATTGATCCGAGTGTACCAACATAGAGTTTTAGAAGCCTTATTTTTTCTTCCATAATACTCCTCTTGAGTTCAAATTGCTACTGCTTTTCATCCACCAATAAATGTTGATCAGGAGACGTTAAGTTCATTGCTTTTACTTCGTCGACAAGATCCTCCAACTTTTGTTTTGCCGTTTGAGCACTTTTGATTATAGTGTCCGACACTCCCGGCTCGTGGCACCAATTTTTGTCGCCGAATTTCTCAATCTCAGACTTGACCAATTAAGTCTTTATTCCTCAAAACTCGGTAATACAGAAACTAATTCAACAATTATAAATATCAATATGGACAAAAGGGGAACAGTTGGAACACGTCTTTCGAAAATGATTTGGCGCTCAGAACCTTCTTTTTATTGCTGTAACTTCGCGTTATAACTTTCGAAGTTTTTCCGACACTGCAAGATTTCATTCATATGTAGACAGAATTACGAAAGCTCCTGAGTTAACATAAGCAGATCACTTATGCGCTTCATTATTAATCTTGTGCAGGTTAATTATATTGACCTAGAGTGATCTTATATTATTGGTGCCTTTATAATTCATTCATTGCATAAGTTTTTATTTTTCTTGAATTTAAAAACTTGAAATTCGACAAAATTTGTTAGATAATGGAATATGAAACTGGAATGAAACCACGATTTGCTATGACTACACCTCAAAGGAATAAAATTCATTCCACATGCGCGCCTTACCGGTCTTATTGCCGCCAGTGTGCATGCACAATAAAAATTGATCAGAAGGTTGGATTTTGTTGCTACATTGGCAAAACTCATTGAAATTTGCCAAAAATTATATTCACATTATAATTGAGTTAATGATCAGGTGGCTATTTGCGTATTTTATTATTTCAAGTGCATATGCAAATTGGTGCTCATTTTTTTCATTTTCAACTTTCGCAACATTTCAGAGATTTTACTTACCAAACCCTCGACCACATCAACTGTACATTATTGGTTTATTCGATTTCCATGGCGGTCGTACTTGTCAGTTACATAGAAATTCAGATATTTCTCTTCCGCTCGCTTTCTTATATACGGTAAATCATTGAAACATTCTGATAAATTCATAAAGTTCTGACAAAAAGAAATCTCTAAAGAAATTTGCAGATCAGAATTGAGGAATGATTTTGGATGATTAAACTTTTGAAGAAAGATTAAAGATTTTAGGAAAACTGATCCAAAAATTTTTAGTTGACGACCTTCTCTCAACGCTATTCACAAATAAACCTACTTCGGAACCTAGATATAGGTACTATATTGGTTGACTCGTGTTCATCGGGACGAAAAACTGTTGAAGCAGTGGTATTTGCAGAAAATCATTGCTTCACCATCGAACAAGGTGGTCAAAACATTACAATAGTTCCGGGATCTGTTTTTGGTGAGCTAGCATCGTTCTTATCAACTTATTTATTGACTTACTCTTTATTATTCCCTCACTTACTTGCAGCACTAGTCTTACTGTGCCAAAGTTTTGATAACTAATAAAAGATCTGAAATGTGAATCCATTTTGAAATATCTTAATACTTCTTCGCATTATTCTCGGATTTGAAAATTGGTTGAAAATCCTTCCACAAATCTGTCGAATTAACAGAACTATTTCGTCAGATTTTTTTTGGATGAAATCAACTCTGCTTTGTAAATTTCCCCGAAACTTATTCAAATTACTGCTTTGTTCATTGTTTTGCTAATCTTTTGCCATCAGTCAATCATACATGTTTATTAATGTGTAAAAGTTCAGTTCCAGTAGTTCTTGACACTTTATTTCATAAATAAAAAATTACTTTTGTAATTCAGGATATGCATCTGCTTTGAGCGGTCGCGTGGGTGAAGCATTAAAAGGACTCTTCATATCCGGAGATAGCTTGCTGGTATCATTAGATGCAGATCATGATACGGCATTAGATGCAATCTCCGCTGTCCCATCAAGAATGAAAGAAATCCTGGCCCTTCTCAAACTGCTCAAAAAGTTTTCCTGGGAATACATCTCCATCGTTATTTCTGATCAGGTAGATCTTCCCTGTTCTTATGTCAAACATGAAAAGGATAAAGAAGAGAAAAATTACTTGAAAAATAAATTTTATGGTTTTAGGACTTTCTACTCCTTGTGCCTCACTCTTATTCTTGATTTGAACTCTTCTCTGGACTCGACCAAAGCGAACGATCAAAGAAAATAGTTATGAGAAATATCAGAATAAAACAGATTAGGATGCATAATCCGATGTTTATGTCTGTCTTAAATTTGATATTAAGAAAAACTTTCTTTGTAACCGTATTATATCTGATTGGTATGGTAGAAATTTTCGGAATATCTGGCTAATATATTTCTATTTTTTTTAGTGAAATCCATTTTTAGCGGTGATAATTTTTTCAGAAGTATTATACCAAATACGCTTTCAGAGTGATCCAAATTGGCTAAAAAAAAAAAAAATTAAAATCTAAGCAACAGAAAGGTTTTTTTATCAGGACAAAAGAAGATGAGGGATTGAAAACTAATTATCAGAAGCATTCGGGAGATAACTTTTAGGAATGCAAAGCTATTGGAAATGCGTATAATGCTTTTTTCAATCTTTATTTAAAGAGAAGTTTAAATTTCATCGATCTCTCAAAAGTTATCACTGAAAAATATCGGGAAAATCAAGACTTATTTCACTGACAGAAACTGAAGAATTGACTGATTGGTATAACACATCAACTCTTCAACAACTAAAACATTTATTAAAAGATACTTCTTACACTGTCTGCCTCGGCTCGTATGAGAGAAGTCTGGTCGAACAATAAAGGCGGTATCATGTTAACTGTAATCGGCTAAGTATGAAAGTTTTAAGCTTCACTTCGAATATTTCAGGAGGATTTATCACTGAGCACTTATCGACAGTTTGAAAAACTTGCTACGGAGAATGGCATTTGCATAGCTGAAGTTAAAATAGTAAATGGAGAAGAAATAGATCCAACGACGACAGCTAATGTCACCATATTTTTCACAAGTGCTTCCGATGCTGCTGCGTATTTTACTGCTAAACTACGTAGAGGTCTCTCCTTTCTCAAATTTAACATCAGTTTCAATGTGAAATGGTTAGTATAATTTGTAATATCCAACCACTCGGTGATTCGTCATGTTTGCAATTTATCAGCGAGATATTGCACTGCCGAGGGACGACACTTTCTAACGAATTTTAATTCCTTTTCTTATCATGTTAATGTCTATTAATGTCATTTATTTGATATGAAACAAAGTGCTTGAATGATTGAAGATGTTTGTAGGCCGTCAGATTTACAAGTATTGAATTTTTCGGAATTCAAATGAAGTAAGATTTGGATACACAGAAAACTCCATCTATGAATGAAACTGACTCTAGATCAGCTCCATAAATGAATCGGAAAGAAATTCACCTCGCACAAAAATGTTGCGATTAATTTTGAAAATTTTTACTATTTTATCGGATAATCGAAAATTATTATAGAATTTCTTTATCCGCATGTTCATATTGTCAGTGGCGATGCACATGATTTCTTTCTACATGATCCGTCCAATGTTGCCAGATTTGTGGGCACCATATCTTTGCAGCCTAAGGTATGTGACTTTAAGTTTGTCAGCACCTTAGAGGAATTGCATTTAAATCTGTTATTCTCCCTTACTCTGAGTGCTAACACTGTATCCGTATTATTTCTTAGAGTGTAAGGTAAGATTTTTTTTTTTGTTTTTTAGTTATGTATTCTAATTTCAGGATGTAATATATGACGAATTTCGAGCTTGGTTAGAAAATATTACACCACTTAGCCTACCAGAAAAGTGGTACTGGGAATACGTTGAGAACCGATGGCAGTGCGCTTTATCCGAAGCAAATCGAAACTTTTATGAAGGCAAAATGTGTACTGGTGATGAGCTGTTAGATCTGCAGAGTTTAGGTATGTGAAATTGTAATCTCAAGAGCTAGTATCTGTAAACGCTGCAAAAAATCAATACATTAATTTTAAATATTTCTTGTGTTAAGAGCTAATGAAGTCTTTTGCAACACTTTCGATGTCTTATTCTGTCAACCTTGTTCTAAGCCCTTAGAATCACATCGACAAATTATTTTCTTTTCTCGGTGCAAAAACTGTGATCGGTTTTTGATTGTCTCGTTATTCATTTGTAGTTTCTAAAAAGTGATGTTTTAGGAAGGATGACGAAAAGCGGGTACTTTGTACGTAGCTTGGAACGCTTCTTGTTTGCGATGGATTCTGTCTATAAGCGATTGTGTCCAGAGCAAGTTGGTGTTTGTGAGGAGTTTTACATGAAAGGACGCGAACAAATTTCAAAAATCCTTAAAAAAGCTGAAACTGAGCATGACTTTGTCATTTACGAATTCATGCCAGACGGGCAAGGTAGGGTAAGCTGTTAAGAATTTCTCTGCAAGATATTTCAGTTGTCGTTAAATTCATGTTTTCTTTGTTTTTCTACTTTTTCCTTTTTGTGTTGAGAGTTTATGAAATGCAGAGGAAACAAATTGTCCAATCTTTTTAAAGTTAGTGGCTAATCCTTCCGAAAGCATTATGTTCGAAGGAAGTAAAGATTATTGTAAAATTTTTGTCTTGTAGCACCTCATAATTGTGATGCCAATAAAGCTTTAGGTTCATATGCTTACCGATGCATTGGGAACTATTCGGACAAAAGCGGCTTCAAATTTTCAGAACCTTATAAATATTTCGGTGTTTTTGATCATGTATTGGAAGAAACATCACAACTAAAGTTTGTCTCAATTCCTTAATTTCCTTCTCCTTCAAAATTCAACATTGTGTTAATTATGCCCCATAAACAAACTGAGCTTCTTACTGATCTTCAAAGTTTATCATGCTCAAACTAATTGCATTGCAGAATTATGTCACAATGCACTTCACCATCATGCAGATGCTTCCTGGACGTAAAATCGATGGTAGTGCCATATTCGGTGTTTGATGAATCCGGCGCACCTGCCGGTTCGTACATTCATCGCGTACCCACAAATGATGCTTTCCAACAGCTTCAATTTCCATCAGTTAATAAAAAAGTTTCCTAATAATTATTTTCAGATTTTCATTTGAACTAATACTGATAGGAAAATAAAGGTAGTACTACATATTTAACTTCGCTTTTCCGCATGTTAAAAACACAACAATTTTTTTGTCATTATCTAAATTAAATTAAATTTCAATGAAATTAATAATAATTCAGATTTTGGATCGGTTAACAGCAGGCCAGTGGCGCTTGCAAACCTGGAATTACGTACTGGCAGCAATAGTAACTGTAATGTTGATCGGAGCACTGGGAGTACTGTTCCTAGCAATAATCAAACTGTACTTCCGAGTTATTAAGGGGAATCAATCTTTGGGATTATCACTGCTTATGGGTGTCATTGTTCTTTATATGACTGGATATGTTTTCGTCTTTGAATCAACTGATACCGTTAGTTTTATTGATTACCTCTTTCAAGTTCTTAATCATTTCGAATTCCTATTAGGCCAGTGTCACACAACGAGCAACTGCAATTGCAGGTTTGCCGACTTCGTATTGTACTGCATCCAGTGGGTTATGCATTTTGCTTTGGAGTGATGATTGCCAAAGCAACACAATTGAAAAATGCTGAATCACTGGGATTTTCTGATGCTGTTCGCATTAGCTACTGGAATTATTGGCTTCTACTGCTATTCATAATGGGCGTTCAGATTGCGCTTTCTTCAAAGTAAGAGTTGATTTTTCACAAAACCCATAAATTACAAATAGTGATGCAAAGAGTAGTGGTAACAAGTGAGTAATCGAAAAAATTGTTCAAAAATCGAAATATAAAATATTTTGTATCTTAAATGGTAATTTGTTATTCTATCTGTTCCAGATGGCTGACAGAAGAATTTGTATCGGTGATAGCACTAAATGACGGACAGTTACGCTTAGTTTGTAAATATGGTAATGATGAATTCTTGTTGTCACAGGCTTATGTCATCATGCTTCTACTCTTGGCGCTTTATCTTAATAGCACCAATAAAAACATTAAGCGAAATCACAAAGTAAATATTTGGAACAATTTGCTGTCATTTTCAGAAACTAAAGATAGTTCTGATAAGTTATAATTTTCCGATGTATTAAAAAAATAAGCTTTCGTGGATTTTGCAGGAAACAAAATGGCTCTTCATATCATCATTAAGTTGTGCCATTCTTTGGGTTATTTGGATAGTGATTTATGTTTTGATTCCATCTCCATATAAGGTTCATCCTTTGCATCAACATCTCATTTTTTTTAGTATGACTTCTTCTTTCTTTAAGGAAGAGTTTTTGAATTCGAAGTTGAACTGAAAATTATTATGCAGGATACGGTTATCGTTCTTGAACTACTTTTATGCGCATCCGTTTTGCTTGGATTTATTTTTGGTCCAAAGATTTATATAATGTTGTCATATGAGCCAGTAGTTGTTGAAATGCGTCCCCAGAATTCAGTGAAAGATTTTGTCATCAATAGCGATTTGTTCGAAAGAGGTAAAGGTTGTAGAATTATTACAAAGTTCTGAAGTAATAAGATAAAGTACCATGCAGATTTTCCAAAATCAAGAATTAAGCCGTTAATTTCAATGTGGGTCCATCAAACATAATAGGAACGAATGATCTTAAAGCCACAAGGCTACCATAGTAAAGATTCCCGATGAAACTTTTGTGGTCAAAATAAATCATTATTATCTAATTTTTTGGATTCTTTGAGAACAAGCATCAAGAATTTGGAAAATTAGTGTTACCATTGCAGAGAGAAATTTGAAACGTACCTCCTCGTTATCGAATAGTTTGGAATCAAGCAAAAGTCATATTCATTCAACTTGCAGTGTTGTAAACTGCAAGAATTCACCAGCATGCATGAGAACCAATTATAGTGAAGATGATCAGGTACTTTCCAGATTTCTCAAAGAAACCAAAAAGAAAACAAAACCGACCTCAACAAACCACATTCGCAATTTCAACTAACTTTTAATTTTAAGTTCAAAATTTTTGTCCACCATTTATGTTATCATGAAAACTTAGTCATGAAAATTTTGAGATTCCAATATTTCGCACCGTAATGCGAAAGAAAAATCATTTGGGACGTTCGCATTCTACGGACAGACAAAGCTTCAGTCGAATAATTCAGCAAATGGCGACGCCATCCGAAATGCTTTGCAGTGATGAAAAAAAAGAAAATGGGGATGAATTTGATCAGCAAAGAGCTGTACCCGATTCTTTATAAGAATGGGAGACAACCACTGAAGCTTAATGATTATTGTAACTGAAATCCGGACTAGTCTTACATTTCCATAAATTCAATCTAGAATGCTGAACATCGACAGCATTGTTTCTCGTAAAATAGTGGCGCCCAGGCAATTTTTTGAGATATATGTTGTTATATTGACATAGGAATGAAATTACTTCTTTCAAGAGCTATTAATTATTACTTAAGGGGAAAATTTGCAATCCTTACAAATGTTTGAAAACTACAAAAAAATTACCTCTCAGGACCTAAAATTAGTTAAGTGAGCAAAAAAGCTGTTTATTTTCTGAAGTAAATTTTGCATGATTATCCCAAGAATAATTAATTGACGACTGCAATTGTTTTGTTCTAAATCTCTGTTAAGCTCTAATGATGAGTTTTATTAGAGCTCGTCTACAATGCTGTTGTACTGATATAATGTTAAGATATTGCGATTTGCGAAATTTATAACTGTCAACTATATGTTTGTATACGTTCAGCTTTGCCTGTATATTATTGAGAACAAAAATTCCTTTTCATAGGCGCCTGTTAATTTTAAATACTGATTCAACAGTGTAACTTAGCAGTTCTTATATTATTCATTAAAATTTCTATTCCTCAATTCATTTCATCTACCCACTGCTTTCTAAACCGTACATTCCCGCTCCCTATGTTAAAGGATTCTTCAGGGAGATGTTGTGTGATTGATGAGGTTTTTTTGACCATTGAAGAGGGTGCAAACTATGGTGAGCTGTCTCTATAATCAGTGATTTTAATGATTGAGCAGAGAAGTATTCCAAGAAGACAGGCAACAGAAGTCTTCTTTTAAAATGTATGTGACAGCACCAATTGCCAGATTTTCATTCGCTAAAATAAAAAATATACGCCAACCTTCTTCGCATTTCTTC